CAATCATTATTCTTTTATTAGGATAGTGTAAATATATAGAGAATTTACCCTAGGTGTCTCTATTTATCACTTGGTTTTGAAAAATGGCCAGATAGATTTTGTGAATAAAAAATGTTTATTCCGATTTTTCCAACTGTTTGACTCATTTTAAATATCTATATTTGTTGTTATACAGCCACACTCAAAATTTCCTTCAAACTTTCGGCCTTATGATTACTTGGTGGCCCAAGTCCTTTTCCATTTGTTGGCCCAAAGCTACATTTCCCATCAGTTTCCCCAAGATGTGAAAGCCTGTTAGCTGTGTGTATCTACTTAGGCAAAGGTTGAAGAAATAAACGTCATGAATAGCCACCAAAAAAAAAGGACAATTTTAACCGACATAAAATATTTTGACATACCTGATTTTAAGATTTTTTTCAGCAACAGATACGAAGTACTTATGCAACATAATTAGGGAGATGAACGTTACCCATCCGATATGTACAAAGGAGGATTAAACCATTTAGCTAGATTTTTATTAAGAAATAATTATATATTATATTTATATATAAAGAAATAATTGCATGCGGGAATCCTTGCTCAGATCCCAGCCAAATTCATGGCGAATTTCGTAAAGATAGGGAAGCCTTTTCCTCGTCACCCTCTCGCCCCATGAACACTTGTAATCATAATAAAAATAATAATAATAACACCAAAGTCTCTAATTTCATAACAAAATTTAAGGAGGAGAAACTAAGTTTGGTGTGTCAATCGTCCATCTCTGAAGCGATTTCCATGATTCCAAGCCTTTAAAATCTCATTCCTCACCCCTCTCGATGATCTCCATGCTCTCTAAATTAGCCAACATTGCAAACTACCAAATTTCCTCTCCAAAATTCTCCACTAGGGTGCAGACAAACCCTACTTTTTTTAAGAAAAATTGTGATAGTATTGAGATGCTATAAGTACTGCCCAAGTTCGAACCCCACGACTTCTGATTAATTTTGTTAGATTTTTAGTAAATACGTCTTTCTAGCTTGTTTAATATATTCTGACCAAATTTGCCTAATTTAAAGAGCGGTGGGGAGGTTGATGGGAGATGGTGAAGAGGCTATTGAAATGAGAGAGCTTTCTTGTGCGGCGAAGAGAGCGAACCATGAAGCTTAAAGGCCAAAGTAATGGCTTGCATGGCTAAGGGTGTGTTTGAGAATATGGTAAAATTAGTGATTTAAAAAAAAGATTTATTGATTTTTCAAAATCACCACTTCAAGTGATATTTTAAGTCACAATTTAGAGTGATTTTAAGTTTTCTTAAAATCAATTTTTTAATTTGCTAAACATGATAAATGAGAAGGGAAGTAATTTTGACAAGGACAAAAGTGATTTTGGTCTAGCCTTTGTTTTAAAGCTAAATCGGATATGAAAGTTAGATATGTTAGATATGAAAGTTTAGATACTAAGTTGTTTTTTCAATAAAAGTCTAAAAACTAACGCTGTCTAAAGGAATTAGCTTGTACAACAACTCATCTACCGTACCATTTTTATACCTTTCAGGGTTAAATCTAGTTGCATCTTCCCATATTTTTGGATCTCTATGTATTGCCCAAGCGTTAATCAAGATCATTGTATCTCGAGGCACTTCGTAACCAGCTATCAAACATTGTTCGGACGTACAATGTGGTACGAGCAAAGGAGCTGCAGGGTCTCAGAGACTACTCCTTGAAGGTAATGCAGTTTCGACAAATCAGATTCATCGACCAGTCGTTCTTGTCCAACTACAGAGTCTAACTCAGTTCTTGCCTTCTTTAACACGTCTGGATTGTTGAGCAAATGGGACAGTTCCCATTCCATAGTTACAACTATTGTGTCAGTTCCAGCCAGTAATATTACCTATAAGAACCGATTAAACAATTAGAAGAGTGAAAATTATATTAATTGATTAAACAATTGAGAAAGAAGATTCAACTTACCATTATTAAGACTAATTGATTTTTCCGGTCCACAAATTAAAAAACAGAATAAAAAAGTTTAAAACCACATAGATTATACTGGTTCGCATCAATCTTAGGATTACGTCTAGTTTTCTACAAAAGTAAGTTCTACTATAGTTGAGAATATTACATAGAGGTCTCACTCAAGATAGCATTATACAGTGACTATCTTACTACTAAGTACCCTAACAATGATTACATAAGATTACACAATTGAAAATACCCTCACTAAACCCACGGATACAGACTATTTTTCACACGGTTCCCACAACCACTCAAGTCTCTTTTATTTTGATTTTGTACAAATAAAACCTTAACAAAAGACTATATTTATAGGAATGCATATATGATCCTAATCCTTATAAGAAAACAATATCCTGATCCTTATAAAAAAATACAATATGCTTCTCTTTGTAGGAGTTCGTAGTAGTATTAAAAAAATCATTTTTTTTTCATAGGATACAAGTCTCCTATTTTGGCTCTATTATCCCCACCCTTTTGATGAAGGGCATTCTAGACACTCAAGATAGAGAACTACCTTGAACTCGGGGGAGTTTCAAATGTAATACTTGTTGGGAAATTAACGGTTCTGTATAATTTCCTCTTCTACAGAAAATATATATCCACACACAACCACAATATACAAATTAGAAAGAAAGTCGGTAAAAGCAAGAAAACGACACAGAAAATTATACTGGTTTACCACTAATGGCTATGTACAGTCTTCCACTCAACTCAAACGTGGGTAATTCACTATTATTGTTAAACATTGGATACACAACTCTCCCAAAAAATATTCCCTAGAGGTCCCAATAAAAGCCTCCTAGCTTCTAAGTATTTTACATAATTAATACTTAGGTACAGGAATGAAAAACTCACAAGAATCAAGATACAATTATTCTGATAATGACGATCTTGATTAACCCCAAAGCCTCTGCCAATACCCGAGCCTCTCCCTTGAAACTGCCACGAAAACCCTATGAAAATCGACTGAAACAGCTCCAAATTTGGCTGAAGAAAACCCTAAATCCCGAAATCCCGAATATATAGATATCGGCACAGCGCCAGGGCCATGGCGCTACGGACGGAGCGCAAACACGCAAATGCGCGCGCGCCTCATTTGGACAGCACCGCGGCGCTGCAGCGCCATGGCACCCTACAGTCTCGGCCAATCTGGCCTGCAACTTCCGCTTTTCCCTGTTTTCATTCCTGCTTCGACCCTGATGCATCCCGACTTGATCACGACTCATCACTAGTTCGTTCCGACGTTGTTTTGACTCCACCAATCCCAATAACACTATCTTCCATCTCTAAAGAATGAGTAAGGTAATACAAAAGTTTGCATCTCCAAAAGATTTAATAGAGTTACAGGGCTACTGCCAACAACCAACTGCAGCTCTGAAATCAAGACTTTAACAAAAAGAGAACTAGAATGAGGCATCATAAATAATTTTGTTCTCAAATGTAGGACAACCTCGGGAAAGTTAATAAATATTTTATCTATGGAGTTATGCACATATTGATGGTTGAATAGTTAATACTAGTTATTAATTTTACTACAGTAACTGTTATTTAAATAGTTAATACTAGTTATTAATTTTACTACAGTAACTGTTATTTAAAGATGGTTGGTCGTGTTATTTCTTTTTTAAATTATTTTTTATGAATTTGATTTAAAAATTATTTCTAAATCTACTTTTAAACCTAAGTTTTGGAAAATAATTTTTAAAGCTTAATTTTTAACACTTTCAACAAGTATTGTTTCTGTTGATGGTTAAAAAGGTCGATAGCCTTCATTCTCTAGTACGAAGTCTGTAAACAGTAGAAAAGTAAAACAAAAAAAATTTCTTACTTTTTTTTTTAGTAAATAAAATGTGTGGGATGAATATTCGAATTCACGAATTTTTGGTTGAGGATATATACATAGTTAGGTTGACAAATTTCATGCTTTCAATAAACGCTGGAGAAGGTCGGGAGAAACTTGATCCATTGCTTTTACCACCTCTGTGTTCTATTTTTTGCTGGGCTCGACTCTCTCAAATTCCAAACACAAATATATAGAGAGAAAATGATTGTTGTAGCATGTAGGTTTAAATTTTATTTACAATCTTTAATTTTTTGTTTGTATAAAAATATAATTTTAGTCCTAATAAATTATATATCAAAAACTCTAATATTAGCACATTTTTTATTCTTTTAATCAATAGATGTGTTTATGATGAACAAGTGTCTAAAGTCACATCTAATAGGTCAAGTGTAGTGTTTCCTAAATAAAGTTGATTGATTCCTCGTCTCCTGCCCAGCAATATGACTATGTATGGACATGGATGAAGATTATAGCTCTAGTATGAACTCGAAGTGTGTCATTGTTTGGAAAATCAAAGTGATGCAATTCATTATTGTGCTTCATTTACATGATTAAGAGAGAACGTAATGATGTAAAAATGACTTTGATGATCAAGTGAGAAGACTATGTAGGCATGATCAATAATGTAGGGAGAGTTCAATCAAGTAATGGTGTAAAAATGCAGTGAATTGCACGTACAAAATCTTTGTGGACCACAACTTTCAAAGAAATCAAAACTCTTTGAAGTTGAATATCTTTAAAAAATGGACCATTTTAATTAAAGAATAAACAAATGTTAATCTTTTAATTAGAGTGGTGGTGACCTACCATGTATATTTTTACTAGAAATCTATGGGCCTTTTCATGGATCATTTGGGTCACCCAACTCAATCATATTCGACTTTTAAAACTCAATTGGGCTTCTCTTACCGATAACATAAAGTATTATCATTATATGCAATTTAACTTTTCATTATTTAGGCTATTCATAAGTATAGTGAGGAAGTTATATTATCATTTTACCTCACCCAACTATTTCTTATCTCCTTAAGTCCCACTAATCCTTTAATTATATAGACTTTTATGATCTCATGACAGTGAGTTTAGATCTTTTTTGAAAGTGCAAAAACTTGAATACTTTGTCGTGTGACACCCAAATAATCACACAAAAAATACAACCCCAATTTCATCATGACTCTAAAATAATATGCATATTAAATTATATATATTGTTCGATCTCATACATATGAATCAAAACACACCACTTTAACTTCAAAAATTCATAACACGCTCAAGATTACGACATTGACCAGCCTAGACCATCTTATAAGTGATATATCCTATATCTTTTGCTAGTTGAGAAGTCCATTTTAAATATTGTGCAAAACTACACTTGGTTGAGAATAGCTCTCATGATTGGACGTGGTCTACACTTGACTATCAATGGTTGAGCTTTGGGCATAGTGATTCCTTCACCTTCAGTCATGTCAACCAATGAGCAGCTCACTCTTTTCCACTCAAAGCATTGAATCAACGATGCCAAAGTCAAGCTCACTCTTTTCCACTCAAAGCATTGAATCAACGATGCCAAAGTCAAGACAGCTACACGTTGAGCCATTCCCATTCCAGGGCAGGCTCTCCTCCCCAAACCAAATGGTAATAGTTTGTACGAGTCAACTCCAATCGCATTTGTATGCCTTTCAGGCTTAAAGCTGGTGGCATCTTCCCATAGTTCGGGATGCCTTTCAGGCTTAAAGCTGGTGGCATCTTCCCATAGTTCGGGATCTCTATGAATAGCCCAAGCATTAATCAATACAATTGCATCCCGTGGTACATCATACCCTCCTATTTTACAATCTTCAGATGGGCAATGCGGCACAAGCAAGGGAGCTGCTGGGGTTAGTCTCAGAGTCTCAGAAATTATTCCTTGCACATAACTTAAACTCGACAGATCAGCTTCATTAACCAGACGCTCTTGTCCAACAAAATTGTCTATCTCAGTTTTTGCCTTCTCTAACACCTCTGGATTGTTGAGTAGATGGGAGAGCGTCCATTCTAATGTCACTCCGGTAGTGTCAATTCCTGCTACTAATATGATCTGCAAAAGAAAGTAAGTACTTTTTAGAGAGACACAAAAAAGAGAAGATCTCAGAGAGGGCAGAGAGAGATGTATACTTGTATGAGGCCTTTGATAATAAGGTCACTATGATTTTCAGGCTCAGTTTTCTGCAAGGGAAGTAAATGCTCAATCATAGTGTTGCCTTCACCTTTCTGATTCCTTATCTCATCAATAAGTTCTTGAAGAAGTTCATCCATTGTGTTTCCAAGCTTCATAATCTTCTTTTCCAAACCAGTAGGATCAATCCAATTCCATATAGGTATGAAATCTCCTGGATTCGTTGCCCCACCATGCGCCATAATTTCTTTCACCACCTCTCTAAATTTCCTCGATTTTCCATCATTCGACATGTCGTCTTCATAATACTTCTTCCCAGCCACCATTCTCATAATGATATTGAACATAAGATCCAAAATCATCGACCCCGGCTCAACCACCGTGAATTCTACCAACGAACTGCGTTTACGCATCAAACGTTTAACTTCGCCTTCTCGAATCCCCGAGAACAGATTCATTCGAGTTGTTGAGAAAATCTCAAGGGCGCCAATCCGGCGAAGGTTTCGCCAATGGTCCCCGTAAGGGGCAACTGCCATGGTGGTGTGGTTGTAGGCTAAGTGTTTTCCGGTGTCCAATAGCGGCCGATTTGCGAGAACGATATCGTTCTTTGTAAAGCATTCTTGTACGACGGAAGGAGATGATACAACTACAACGAGACGTGAAGGGTGAAAGGCCCACTACTTCTTCATTCATGGACCGAATCGGAGAGAGAAAACATGGCCATAGTTGTGGGAGAGGTTGTGAAGTGTCCGATGAACAGGGTGTTTGACGAGATGGAGATGGCCGATAATTGGAAGGGAAAAACGTGGGCTCGGCGGGAGGTTTTTCCGGCGGTGAGGTCGAAAGAGAAGGAAGACAAGGAGGAGAAAGAGTAGAGAGAGAAAAATGGAAAGCGAGAGAATATCCATTGCTGCCCAGTTTGGCTTTGGTTTCTCCTTCAGCTGGCGTTGTTAATCAAGGAAGTTGATTTAATCTTCATATATAGATAGGAATAAAATTTAGCTACTCAGCCAGATCAAGCGGAGCTCCTTGATTAAGACGACCAATAAAGTTAATCCTAAATTCGAACCACACCACTATTAAAAAAAAATGGTGTTCACTGGTAAGGAATGACTTTATTCTTTATTAATATTTGACAACTCATTATTTTTTAAAATAAATTTTTGTTTTCCATTTCTCTTTTTTATTTGTCAAAACAAAATATTTGGCTCCTTAATAGTAAAAGTAACATTGTCTTCACCACTATTAAATATTTGACAACTAAAAAAGAAAGAGGAATCGAGGAACCAAATTTTATTTTTAAATATAAAATTTGACTCCTTGATAAGGAATAATTGTATCTTTACCATCATTAGATATTTGAAAATTCATTATTTTTTAAAAAACATTTTGTTTTTCTAATTTCAAATATTTAATTGCGAACACAGTTGCAACAAAGAAACAAAGAAAGAAAGGGGGGAAAATATCTCATAAAGTTATATGAATAAAGTAAACTTGGGTGCTGCCAAGTTTGATTTGATGTAATGTTTCAACTTGAGAAAAAAGATATCTCATTCGAGATATTTCTACGATGCAACGCACTTGACCAAGCATAAATGTTCACACTTTTAGTTTTTATTGACTTTATGATAATATTGTTTTTTGTAATTTCATCTCTGGTATTTTAGAAATTTTAATTTCATCCTTTACGTATTATATTTTTTTTTCTCCGATAGTGTTAGTTTTAAATACTAAAATGAATAACAAAAACTAAAATAAATACTTTAAAATTATATAGGTCAAAATGAATCATCTACGCGGACGAAGATATACAGTATTTAAATCTAAAATGTTAAAAGGAAGAATGATGTTTGATTTAAAAAAAAATATTGTTTTTGAGAGAGTTACTTGTCGGCATTTATTTTCGGAGACAAGTAAGTCGTCGTTTTCCGTAGAATAATAAATAATATTTACAGACATGTCGATGTCGACAGATATTTCGAAAAAAATCATGGAAATTACGGATATTGATGTAATTTTTTTGAATTAATAAATAAGATTTTAATGGTAGCTTAATTAGCCTATAAGTCATCACTTTTAACCATTATATCTAAATATATTAGTAATATACTTATGAAAATGTCGTCACAATGAAAACGTTGAAACAAAACCATATATAAATTATTTGAAATAGTCAATTAAAGTTTAATAGTGTTTACTTATATTTTATTGATAACTTCTAATTCATTAGTTACATCTTTAAAAAGAGTAACATTATTTAATTATGGTAAATGTTTAATTATATAATATTGTTTAATTATAGTTAAATTTAATTATTTTTTTGATTAAAAATAGATTTATTGGTTTCCTTGTCTTAAGTTAAAATGACTAATAATAACTTATTACATAATCTTATTTTCTTTATTAATTATCACAAATTCAACATAAAATTTAGAAATATTTAGAACTTTAAATCTTTGAGAAATTATTAAGGCGAGGAATTATCGTCGGGAGTCCAATATTTATCTCAAACGCATATTTACAAATGGAAAGAGCAAAGAAGAATTGTTTTCCTAAATAATAAATATTTTAAAAATAATTTAAGCTTCCTATAAGATGAGTTGGGAAATATCAAAATTTTGTAAAATTCTTGATTTTCCATAACATTTGAAGATAATTTTAATATTGGTTAAATTGATAGTTAATTAGCAATTCTTTATCAAAACATAACTTCATTATTAAGTAATGAAAGACAAACTAAGACTCTCTTTTAAAAAAAACATTAAGATAATTAAGAAAAGTTCAAAATAAATGGGACTAAATGTTGTTTGGAAAATTCAAGAATTTGGTAGAAAATCAATTCGAGGACATGTCACATCTGTTATGAAATATGGATATGGAAGTCTTTGTTTCAAAAGATGAAAATACAAAATATCTTACATTTTTTTCCATGGTCATCAAAGGTTTTAAACGTGGATGGAAATGTAGATGACGTTAATGGAAATGTCGAGGTTCTAATCTTTGATTTCAGTTAGTTAGTATTTTGTTAATCAGTTATTTTATGCTGCTATTGTATTTAAAAACCTTACTCTACACCTTATAAAATTAATAGAGAATTAATCTATCGTTATTTTTTTAGAAAGGTTTTAAGGTCTCAATTTCGTGTAAATATCTATAAAATGTCGATGTCGACATTGATGGATATTTCTATAAAAACTTAGAGAAATTTAAAAAGTCATAAAAATTATTTAAATTAACAAATAAACATTTTTCTATTTCTAAATAAGTTAAAATGACTAATATTAATATTATGTATATATTAGTGAGACTCGATGTTTTTTATATTTTGTCGATTTTTTCTAATATGACGGAAATGTCAATTTACTATGAATATATCAAAATGTTGTCGACGAATATTTGATGACAACTTTGAGAGTGAGGTGGTTCACCAATCACCTTTCACTTTTAAATCTCAAAAGTCTACTTTTTATTTATTTTTTATTTTTTATTTTTTTAACATTTATAGATATATAAGATTCCCGATGGGTGAAAACACATTTTTACTTCTAAAAAATGGTAAATTCTGAATCCTCACTCATGTCATATAGCTTTATTATTAGTCAATATTTAACATTGACCTTAAAAACTTTAAAATAAAAGAAACTAAATTTTTAAAAGATTAATAATAAGGATTAAATTGAGGAAACAAAAAATATGAACTAAAATACATATAAAAAATTATCCTTGTAGTCATGAATTGTTATCGGATCATTTCCAGCTTTAGTTTTCAAAATATGAACTTTAACCTTTATTTTATTTTATTTTTTTTTGAAAAAAGTCAAAGAAGAATATTTTCATGAATAATAAATATTTTAAAAATAATTTAAGCTTCCTAAGATGAGTTGAGAAATGTCAATTTTTCTTAAATTCTTGAGGCAAATGATTTTAATATTGGTTAAATTGATAGTTAATTAGCACTTCTACCTCAAAACATAACTCCATTATCAAAGCAATGAAAGACAAACTAAGACATTCCTTTTAAAAATAAATATGAATAAATTTTTCTTAAATAAGAAAATTTTAATAATATAAGAGAATTTTGCCAACCATATTCTCACGAGTCTTGCGAGATAATGTTAACAACTTTCTCATACCCTAACAACATTTCAATCCAATCTAATTTTTGCAAGTCATTTTCATTTTATCGTTTATTTTGTGGCCAATAACTTATCACAACTCATAAAAAAAAAATTCTTTCTTGAAGGACATCCATCGTTCCGACAAGTTGTGACAACTATAATGACAAATGATTCAAGTTCTAAAATTAAGTGAACCTAAGTATAATTAAATTAGTTAAGATATTTATCTTCCAACTAAAAAGTCCTGAGTTTGAATCTCCATCCTCATATATATGTTATGCTTAAAAAAAAGTTGAGCACTCCCTTAAAAGACTAGAGATTTGACTCGTATCACTCTTAATTGAAATAAATGAATCTTAATTTGTTGTTTTTCTCAACAAACAAAAAAATAATCTCTCATCGGAAGAAATATTTTAAAATTTGGTGGCGAGGGATCGGATCACGAGAGCGGTGGGGAGGTTGATGGGAGATGGTGAAGAGGCTATTGAAGTGAGAGAGCGAGAGCGAGAGTGAGAGAGCTTTCTTGTGCGGCGAAGAGAGCGATGGAGGAAGGTGGATCTTCTAAATTTAACTTGCTATCGTTGATTGAGGAGCTGAAGACCATGAAGCTTAAACGCCAAAGTAATGGCGTTAATGGCTGATTAATTCTAGCATTGGTTTGGTAGATGTTTTATCACGTGTGCTTGTGTTTCATTTCTATGGCTTGGGCTTGTGATGGACCTGTGAGATTGAGTAGTTTGACTTTTGTTTTGTTTTTTTATTTTTGTAACTATGAAAAAGTTGATCAACTTTAAATATAGATGTTAAGTGATTTATTCATTTCTAACTTGAGTATAGTTGAGCGGTAATAATTCACATATACTATTTTTCTTGAGATTGAAGGTTTAAACCTAGGGGCAGGATGTTAACATAAATCATTAAAAGTGGATATTAAAAGTGGATAAAGAAGGTGTGAAGCTCAATATCTATATGAGCCTAATATCTGTAATAGGCCTAATAGTGGCTATAAAAGCTGTAACTCATTACTGTGTTGTGCAGTGGATTGAAATAACAAAATTCAATTCTTACGAATTCAAGATTCTCCACACCTCTTTTCTTGGTATCAGAGTTCAAAATGCTCAAACGATCAAAATCGATGAGCCAAAAGAACCACGATTTTGAAGGGGCATGTTAAGGATCCCACATTGATAAAAGAAGGGACCTTGCATGGGTTTATAATAGACATGGACTATTCCTCTCATGGCCAATTGGTTTTAATATGGTATCACATTTTAGCAATCTCAGCCTTAAAGACTACATGAGCCAGATTAAGAGTCTAATCGACAATCACCAGACCTAGAGTTCAATGTCAGATAATTTTGGTCTCAACAAAGATTGAACAACCTTACTTTCAGTACTGAGGTCTCGGATGGGCAGCAAATGCATACGGCTAATGGAGTAGGTTTGTCTATAACACATTCTGGTTATTCCTCCCTTTTTACACCCACCAAACATATTTTTCATCTAGAAAATCTATTACATGTTCCTTCTGTCACCAAAAATCTTCTTAGTGTCAGTCAGTTTGCTCGGGACAATCAAGTTTATTTTGAATTGCATCCTAGCGTCTGTTTTGTCAAGGACCAAGCCAATGGTAAAATCATGCTCCAAGGTTCTCTCCAATATGACCTTTACTCATTGAAACTACAAGCATCCTCCAAGAATTCTATGGGCAATTATAATTTTCTTCATAATGTCTCCAAATATCCGTTTATCTCTATTCCACAAGAATGTAATTCTCAAATTGATATTTGGCATAGAAGACTAGGTCATCCATCCTCTCTTATTGTAAATAAAGTTCTCAATACTTGTAATCCACAGTTTCAATTCAATAAA